ATTTTTCGAAATTGAGATTTATGCATCGTCTGAAAGCTGAATAAATAAGCTTTCCATTGATGTATGATTTGCTATGACAGGACAATATTTGGTCGAGATACTATTTGAAAATCTGGAATCTGAGGGTGCAAAAAAATCTAAATATTGAGAAAATCGCCTTTAAAGTTGTCCAAATGAAGTTCTTGGCAATGCATATTACTAATCAAAAATGAAGTTTTTATTTATTTACGGTAGGAAATTTACAAAATATCTTCATGGAACATAGGAACATGGAACAACTAATGATTTTTCGCATAAAAGAAAAATCTATTATTTTGACCCATACAATGTATTTTTGGCTATTGCTACAAATATACCCCAGCGACTTAAGACTGGTTTTGTGGTCCAGGGTCACGTTTGACCTTAATTGACCAATCAAAACCAAGTATTTCAAAGAGACATGTAAAAATGAATGTTATTTGTGGATTTTTTTATAGTTATTTTAAGTTTTCCATTTAACATGAAGTTTTAATTCATTATTCTCTGTGTCCATGCCTATTTTAGAGATGCCTATAACCATTTTTTTTTTGTTCTAATGGCAGCTGCGCTAGTGTCAGCCGTTTTCTAAACTATGATCCCAATGGATAAATATTTTGAGCATTTATTCCATGACGATAGCTTTGATTGATTTCTGCCTAGCACTCTATCTTTAAAAAGCCACAGTGAAGTATAGCAGTTCTGTTTTGATGGAAACAAAACAAAAAAACATAATTCATTGAATTCATTATATGTTTGAATTTGACAAAAAAAACCCTGTTCAGGTCATATTTCACTTATATAGAAATCAAAAGAGAAATATTTTTGCATGAAGAAAGTGAAGCATATTTGTAGAATTATTAGGATTTTTGCATTGTGGAAACAGGATATTGTAATGTGAAAAAATGGAAATGTAACATATACATTATTATTTTTATCACTTAATATTATAACTATATAATATAGTAATGAAAACCGTCCTGTCTGCAGGATAATACAGTTTTTTGTTCTTTTGACATTACAAGAATTTAGGGGGCAATTTTTGAAATCGTCATGAAAGGAATGTCACAACAGAAAAAATCTAAATGTCTAAAATGAATTAATGAATGATTCTTTTGAATTTGAAGTGCTAATTGTGAACATTAGATTAAACTAGACAAATTATTAAATATATGTCATTAATCCTGTTTTCTTAGATGAAAATGGAAAAGGACTGTTTCTCACTAAATATGGATGTTAAACACTTTAAACCAGAGGAGCTGTCAGTGAAAATCAATGGAAATTTCATTGAAATTCATGCCAAACATGAGGATCGTCAGGTAGCAACTCACAATACATAAACACTGAGCACTGCCCTTTTGTAAAAACCAGCATATGCTGGTTAGATATGTTTTGAAGCATGGGAGCTGGTTTAAGCTGGTCCTGAGCTTGTTATAAGCTGGTTATGAGCTTGCACAGGACCAGCTTAGCTCCACTGCTTCAAAACATACCTAACCAGCATATGCTGGTTTTTTCAACAGGGTGTAAACCAACACCTACCCAAACCTTTGCATGTGACTGGCTTTACTGTTTAATATCCACATGTCATCCCCAAGATCACTGGCCTTGTGCCGCAAGTAAACATTGAGTCAAGCAGAGTGAAAGACGGACCATTCATTATCACCTGCTCAGAACGATGTTGTGCTTTCCTCGCAGGATGATCACGGTTTCGTCTCACGAGAGTTTCTAAGAAAATACCGTGTCCCTGCTGGTGTGGATCCAGCCTCTGTCACTTCCTCCCTGTCTTCTGATGGCGTTCTGTCAGTGACAGCCCCGTGCAAGCACACAGACGGCCTGGAGCGCTCCATTCCCATCACCCGTGATGACAAACCCGCCGTGGCTGGGTCTCAGAAGAAGTAAAGCTGCTAGACTTCCATGTTTCAACTTTATGTCCCTTGTTTTCCCTTGTCCCACTGTGCTCCTGCTACATTACAAGGGAATAACTTATTAGCCCAGTGTTTCCTGACAGGCCAAAACTTATGTTGTCTTTGCTACAGCGGCTAGAGAAGAAACAGCTATTAGGTTGAAAACTCCATCAGCGTCAAACTAACTGTAAACACAATCTCTAAATGATGAATTTTACCTAAAAGATTTTCATAGAAATACACGTTTACAATAAAGTGTTGTCTTCTGTTGATGCCACCAAACAAAGGGGCTTTTGTATATCGCGCAGCCTTGACAACAAGACAAAGTATTTGAGTGTAGGAGTATTTTTCCCTGGTAAAGACAAACAGGCAAAAATGGGCCATTGTATTAAGCTGGATCAAATGGCAAAAAATGCCATAGTCTCTCATTATTAATGGTGTGATTTGCAGGAAAGTCAGAAAAACGGGAAAACTTTACAATAAGGTCCTATTACTGTTACTTAAAGGGGTCATATGATGCGATTAAAATTTTTCCTTTCTCTTTGGAGTGTTACAAGCTCTTAACTTACATTAACAATGAGCAATATATTTCTTACAGTATTTATTCATCTTTGTTAATGTTAATTAATAAAAAATACAACTTCATTGTTATTTCATGTTAGCTCTGGTCCATTAAATATTATTAACAGATACAACTTTTGATGTTGAAATTAACACTAACTAAGATTAATAAATGCTTTATAAGTATTTTTCATTGTTAGTTCGTGTTATAGTTAACTAATGTTAACAAATGGAACCTTGCTGTAAAGTGTTTCTTCTGTTATTGTGTATTCTGAGTATGTTAAAATGATTTGTTTGAGATGTCACAATGGCTATTGTTTTTGGTTTGAAAAAGTATGTTTATTTTGAATTTAATTTGGGACCAGAGGACACAGTGAGGGAATGTGGATACGTTCTTAAAAAAGTGACAGTATTTAAGTGTTTTGACAAGCTTTGTGAATGTTGTTCTGGTTTTTGATTGGTTAATGACACATTTATGCACTGCGTTGCTTCACACTATACTTTCACCACTGTATTTTCACGACAATAGCAGGAGCAGGGCTTTAAAACCCAAGGTTAAAGGGGGTTATGAACCCCTTTTAAATAAAATAATATGAATATGTTGCTCAACACAGCTTTAAACCGGAATTAAACGGTTAATTGTTAATTCATGGTTAAGCAGCAGGAATTGCAGGTGCTACTCACACAGCGGTACGGTTCCAAGAATTGCTGTTACTGCAACAGTTAATGAAAATGAAAGCATTTAAAGCAAGTTTATTCATGCAAGCACGGTGTATAGGTCAAATGTCCCCCTTGAGATTTACTAAATAATATTTGAATGTTACTTTTGAGAGTGAGATGTGAGCTGAGATGTCTGTGCATGTGAATAAGGGCCAAGAATTTATATTGTTTACAATCACTGAGACTATTCAGTCTCTTAGCAATGGCTCACTTATTCAACAATGGTAAAGCTGCTAATATCAAACTAAATCAGTAATTTTTTTTATATGGAAAAGCAACATAAGCAGGTTCTGACAAAGATGTAGGATAAATATCCTTATTTCCTTATATTTATATCACTCCGCTAAAGCAAAGGCCTAAACTGCTGCATTATCCCCACTAGGAGGTGTAAGTGAGAAGGAGAACTTCAAAACATGGCTTTGCACTGTCCACTGCTTTCCTCATTAATCACAGCTGAAGCACTGAATTAACTAATTAACGTCATTATATAATTATCAATAAATGCTTCAGCCATTCGAAACCAGTGTGAACTTTCTTTTTTTTTTTTTTACTCAAAATTATTATTTTTTCTTTTATTACATAGCGTAGGCTAACTCAAAATGTTCAAAGATTAGGGAATTCAATGGTCTGGCAGATATTTAGTCTATGAGTAGGCCTACAAAATATATGTTGAAATGGTGAATTGCTCTGCATTTTAAACTCAAGTATAGGCTAGCGCTGCTTGTAGAAATTTTTGACTTTCCTCACTATCTCTCAACACTACCAATTCGTATGTATTTTACGAGGTGGCTAATGCAGTAAAGTACAATATAATTGAAATTGAGAACTAAAATAATCAAACCTCACTATGTATGGAAAATCAATCAACATGGGTACATTTTCTTTTCACTATATGCATGATTAAAAAATAGACACATGCTTGAACAAAATATAATAATACTTTTTATCAATATTTGACAGTGGTTCACTCACAGAAGTCAGTTGGAGGCTACTGAAGCTGATATAATTTTGGGAGCCAAATTTCTCTGCCAAAGGCTTCAGTTTGTCTCTGCTACACTCCCGCACTGAGGCTCTGAAGTCTCCCCCACTATTTCTACTCTATGTTGAGGGCCTTTAAAGACCAGTCTGTAGCAGGAGTTTGGCACACACTTAGTTTGTGGAGGGTCCAGCTCTGGTTGGTGGCCAGGGAAGCTTCTTGACTCTCTCTTCGGGGCTGAAAAAGTGAAAATATAAGGTTCTTTACAGTAAGCATATTTATTTTGTTGAATTCAAAACTAACTAATAAATTAAAAGTTAATACAAAGTTTTTAAATTAAATTATTTAAAGAAAAACATACTTGTGTAAATCGGCCGAATGTCATCTTTCTTGTAGCTGGAATAATATGTGGTTTCAAAGTAGTGGGAGAACTGTGAGGAGTAGCAAATTCAAGGTTATCTGGCTGTTATTTGTTTGGTATTGGGACACCTAAGTGACACTTAAAAATGCATGGATGTCACTGCATTACACAACTAAAAATCCAACCAAATTTATTTTAAAGAAAGATAGCACTAGCACACTTTTAAAGCAAAACATTCACAAAATAGGCTAAGTTTTAAAACAAACAATCAGTGTTCAGTGTTTAAAATGATTTGCCTTTTTGTGATTAACAGATGTTAGTGGAACATGTTCATAGTTCATGTAACTAGCTGTGGTTACTGGGCTGGGCACTTCATAAAATAATAATAATAAAAAATACTAAAAATCATTGCATACTGCTAAAAAAAGTGAAGCTGTGAAGGGATTGCAGATGCTTCTTGGTTTCATATTTTATTAACTAATGCAATGAAATTCAAACATTTTTAAATGTGACTTACAGCACGTGGCTATGAATGTCATTATTTTACTAAACAATACCAACCTGATGCGGAAGGGGGCGTCGTAACGCCACAGTACGGCGAGTGTCAACCCTCTCTTCTGACCAGTTACCAATGAGGGTGGCATTTGAATAAGAGTCTTCATTCGTTGAACACCGCCAACCATACTGACGAAATTTGGCCTCGTCGGCAAAATCATTCCAGACCTCAGCTTGCCCAGAAGCCCGAAGCATGTGATGAAAAGGAGGGTCGTTTGTCACCCAAGACATCGTGCCACTAAATTTTGTGTCATAAAAGAATAGACTTTTTAACAAACTGCAACAGCAACAATGTGCAAAATTGGCCTAGTTAAATATTTTGTTAAAATTAACTAATGCAATTTTTTCCACCAAAATAAATGAGCTATTTTGCAATGACGGTCGCAATTTTACAAGCGTTTTTATAATTTAAAATCTCATTTTTGTTATACTTTTTTAAAAATAATAAATAATACATTCTCAAAAATACATGCTTTTTGCAAATAGCCGACTTATGCAATCATTCTCATCAGACAGTAACTTCACCCTAGACCACACACATTTAAATATTTGTGATAGTCGTCCATAAGCTACATAGTCGCCCATATCAGTACAGCCGTTTACATTTTATTTACCTAGTTTGAAGTTAAAAGATTTTAATCAACTGTAAACACGCACTCACCTTGAATGCCCAGTATTACGCGATCCTCGAGCTGTCATTGGTCTCCATGGAAATGCGCATGACGCAACTCGGCTAGAAACCGAATATCTACTGCTGAAGTCGTGTGAAGATAATAAAGGCTGATGCAATCATTTATCGCTTGAGTAGTAATTGATTTTCTCTTTAGTTTTCATTCAAAACTTTTTTTTACCAAAAACATCACGTGATACAAACAAACAGCGATCACTTGCGAGAGTAGCAGCCAAATAGCAGCAGCTCAGCTTTATTCAAACTATTGCATCAACAAGCATTTACAGTCTACAGTCACTGGTCTATATGTTTTCCTCTTCTGAATAGTAAGAAATCTTTAAGTTGAGTTGCCTACTAGAAATAATAAATGTAGTGACACACTATAAAGTGCAGAGTGGAATCAAAAATCGTGTTTATGTTCCAGCCGAGACAGCAATCCTAATAGCAGTAAAAGTCCCATTTCTGAAAAGACAAAAAAAAAAAGTATAATTAACCTTAAACGGATGTTTTTTATTACATGTATTTGTCAGTGCATCAGTTTTTTTTTTAATCATAGACAAAAGATTGAGATACACACATCAGTCTTGACCTCAACCTCAGCAGGCATTAAGGCATGCGTCTCTTCAACAACACTGCTGGGGAAATATCCCAGACGAGCTTCCTGGTCTCCATAATATGACCCTTGAACCTTCACAAACAGTTATCTTCAGTTATACTTTGTGACTTTGTTTTTGCACACGTTGTCAATACAAGAAAATCATGCAAGTTTTAATGATTAAAATACTGCAATTGAGTTCACTCAGTAATACAGTAGATATAGGCTACTTACACTGCCAGCCCAAAAGAGGTTCCCACGGTCTTTCAGCATGGCATACACATAGACAGACTGGCCTTGGTGAATGTGAATGAAGCGGCAGTCTTGTGGGTAATAATCCTGCAGAGCTTTAGCGATGAGAATGGGATCTGTGAATACACAATCACACGGTTTAGATGGATAGGCTATTATACCAATTTTATCACCATTTAAAGTTTTTTTTTATCATTATATATAGCTTATAGAAAAAAAGAAAAAATCATGTCCATGTTGTTTGTCAACTTGTAAGGCAAGTCTTTTTTTTTTTACCAAACTCTTTTATAATATAAAAATAGACTGTAACAATTTCAACAAATTCATATTATTATTTTTAACAGAATTTATTAATCTAACCGTCCATTGTTATGTTAGCTAAGGTCCAATAAATAATAATTACAACTTTTGATTAAATAATGCATTAGTAAATATTTAAATGAACATTTAATAAAATATTTTAATTGTTTTGATGTTATTTAATGTTAAATAATGTTAACAGATGGAACCTTATGAAGTGTTAACAAAGTGATTTATGTTGAAATGGAACATTTAAAAGAAAACACTAAAAGAAAAAAAAACTATCCTGAAATTTCCCTACAATTAATATATTAAAGTTAAATCAGCTGGTTTGCATTACTCACGGCTACACTCTGAATCGGCGCATAGCTTGTTGTCCGAGAGTTTTGGCATCTGCCTGCCAGCCTGAGTGTTCAGTGGCAGGAGGCCACACAGCACCAGGAGAAGGGTCCAGTTAGCACCGTGTCTCTCCATCTCTGTGTGTCTGATTCATAGTTTGTTTGAACAGGACTAAAGCTCAAGTGGGAGGGGCCAGTTGAGGCCAAGCCCCACCCATTTTCAGAAAGTATACATATAATCAGGGACTGACTGGGAGTAAAAAACGGCCCTGCATGGATTTTCTCCCAAATAGGCCCTCCACAGCTACAAACAGTCACTACTATCTCACAATATTACAGCAATCCTATCGCATTTATGGCAAATAACATCACAAAACCCATGGTGACCCTGCTGACAAAAACAATAGAAACCATCACAGAAATTCAAATGATTTTCACTACACTACAAATACCATTACAAACATTACAAACCATCAACTTTTAACCATTAAAACCATTCAATAATGCTTTCCTGTAGTGTGTTTTGGGACATATTACATTAGGGATGTGATGGTTTCAAATTTTTTTTTCAACAGAGGATAGAAATAAATGTATTGTATGAACTAAAATACTTGAAATCTACATAGAGCTGAATGCAAAATGTATATGACAATGACAAACATAAACCTAGAATCTAGAAACCTGAAACAACAAAATTCTTAAATTTGAGTATTTATATGTCTCTCGCTCTCTCTGTGTGTGTGTGTCATGTTAATCAGACTAATCACTTTATAGGCTACTTCATTTACTCAATTTTCTAACTCAATAGCTCTCAAATGTAACCCGTTGTAGAATCGCTGCTGTCTTTTAATGAATGAATGGAATATTCATGCCGGACATTACGGAGTGATAAACAGCAGTGGACGCTGGGACCTGGGATTTTACTATAGTGCTATAGGCTACATGCTGTGTATAGTGAGAGAGGCGGGCAAAGGTAACCTGACGTATGTTCGCTTTTTTTCTTTTAGCTTCTCCCAACCGCATTTATCTTCATGTCTTTTGCTTGCCATCACGAGCCCACTCTCCTCCTACGCGTCAGTTTCGGTTTTCTTATAAGCAAAATAGATTGCATTAGCGCCCCCTTTTGTCGGCCGTCAACGTCACTTACTGTCACAACTGACACTTTTTGTTTGATGATGAACCAGACTTCTCCAGAACGTCCAGATGGCCAGTCCGGCCCCTGCATATAATCCATATAATAACAGGAAAAATTGCAGTAACACTCCACTCAAATGAAGTGTGTTTACTTATATAGAAGTTAGAACACAAGTAATTCTAATTACTAAGTAATTAATTTTTCTCTTTACCATTTAAGGACAAAATCCAACTACTATTGCAAACATAATTATTCAGTATATGATACACTGACTGTCTTTTTTGTATGTTATTCAAAATTCCTTTTTATTTTTGTAGGTTTTTCTTGTGTTACAGCTGTAAGCCAAGATTCAGAGCAGAGCCCATAGTTGTAACTAGCTTCATTCAGGGTCTGTAAGAGAAAAATATGAAGTCAAGAAAACAGGAAGTATTGCTGCAAGTTTCACAGACTCTCACTTGTGTAGATATTGCTAATCCTATCTGAATCCACAAACAGTTCGTTATTACCACGGTAAGGGACATAGCCAGGCCACGGGTCCCATAGCAACTAGTTACAGAGGCTGAGGCCTTTGCCAGGGGTTGAACAACCCGTCCTTTCACAGCAAAAAAAAAAAAAATCAACACTCACTTTGTTTCAGAGGATTCCTTATGGTCTCTCTGAGCCACTTCCATATTTGGATCACCTTGAAATATCACAAACAGTCCAACAAAACTAACTGTACATTGCAAATCCAGTACCTTACTACGTGAAATCGTGATCTCCAGTTATCTATCAGGAAGAAGCTGGTTGTCTGTGAATAGAAGCTGCTCCCTCCACAGTGGCGTAGGGTGGGTTACTTTAACCACAAAGTGGCAGCAATGAGCAGGTTACCTAACAGCCTCTGAACGGGTTCTTTTATGCCTGGTGAGAAATGTTTTGGCAGTCTGCATAACATCTGACACTGTGGAAATTACGAATACTTCACTTACCTATACAGCATTTCAAAGAGAATTATAAAATGATCTTTGAACACTCTGAAGCATGTTGTAGTTATAAAAATGTAGAGATTAATTGAAAGTTTTATGAAAGTTTTAATACATAAGCACAATCCTTTGTTATGTAATTTCTTTAACATGTGGGAAGAATTAATCAATCATATTTTCAATGCTTTATGTAAAGAATTATGATGGCACAAAAGAAAATAGAGAGAGGCAAAATGTTAAAATATTTAAAAAAAAAATGTATTTTTTATTTATTAAGATAAAAAACTAAAATAAGACAGTAAAGTTCACTGGAAATTTTCTTATGAAACTGAATAGAGATTAAAGTCCAGAATTGTAAATTTTTTTTTAGCATTCCTTATACTTTAGTGTAGCTTAATTCATTGTGTCAGGAAATTGATCAAATTCAGATTTGAACTACATACATTTTGATTGTGCTTTTTGGACATCTACAATAATGTAAATTAATATTAACCAAAAATAATTGTAAAAATAATAATTTGTGACAACTTTTCTATTGAAAGTAATTTATAAAAGAATATGATCATTTATATTCCAAGGTAGGCAAATTTGTTTAAAAACTTGTTAAAAACTTATAAAATATGAAAAGTGAACCAAATGCATACAAAGGCATACAAACAATAAATGAACAAATAAATTAACCATAGTTTTTTTTTTTTTTGAATAAACAGCCTATTAAATATTTACAATTACAGCCAGAGGATACATTAGAACAAACAGAAAAACAAACAAATAAACATAATGACGGTTAAGTTATATAAAACAATTAAATGTTTACAAAAATTAGTTTGACAGCTTTCTTATTTTTGGAACTTCATATTGTTTTTTTGGTTTGTTGAACTTCTGCCTTCAAAATTCAAAACAATGGTTTAATTCCCCCATGTTTACAATAATGAATAAATCGTAGTGGTTTTTGTCCTTTTTTTATATATATATAAATCGAAGTTTCATACTATTATCAGTGACTGTATCTCACCTGAACGCCTGACGTCAGCGTCACCTACCCTTTTTGTGTGTTTGGGCTCCTCCCACTAAACTGATGACGCCACGAGAAGGTGTGGCTTAATTAGCTTTACAGCAGCGCTTCCAAGGCGACCAGTAGTACCTCCCTGTCACTGTCACCTTTCATGCTAAGTTTGGAGCAGGAACTTCCCAGGTAGGAAAAATAAAGCACTACTTGTTCTAAATAGTCAATAGGAACGTTAATACTACTGAGAGACGCTTTCTTACCGATTTTACAAGAAATTTGTGTTGAATATAAAACATTCATTTAAGTTCTTAAGTCTTTTAATAAGCCTTTATTTGCTGTGAAGTTGATACGAACAGTTTGGGCTGTTTTATTTACACTACATTAGACTAATGTAGTTGATTCAACAGTTTCAATGCCATTAAAATACCACATTATGTTAATAATAAACACTTTTAGCCAGAGGTTCTGGTTTACATCCATTTATATCATCCTGTGCCTGGGTTTCCTCCATTATGATCCACATACAGGAAAGTAGTTCCTGTTTTATTCCAAGAAAACACTTTACAGCTATGCTAAATAAAATAGCGGTGAAATATCAGCATTAAGGAGGTCACCTATGTCTTGTGCTCTTTAAAACCTGTTTAGCCAATTGTAAGGGGTGTAGTCACTGGGCCACTGAGGAGTCTTGAATGACTACTGGAATGTGAGAGAAACACTGAAACTTTGTTATGTTGGTCATGTCCACAAAAGAAGCTCCTAGACAACAATAGAAATGCCCAAAGGTAGAAATGGATAATGTGGTGTTTGGATACACATACTGTATAGGGACGAAATCCAAGCTCTTTACAGTCCAGGAGGATTAGATATTATAAATGAAAACACCTGCCAGCTTTGTGTCATAATTTTCAGGGTGAGTTCCAACACAATTCACCTGTTTCAACACGCTTCTTTCCATAGGGAGATTTATAAGGAAGTCTCAAGATAAAGCAAACAATAAATCAACTGATGATTCCACCCTTGGAGGAAGCTTCAGCCTCAGTACACCCTACATGTGACACACACACAAGGGTTGATCATCTTTTGAAGGATATAAAAAACCAAGAGGTGTCAGGTTCTGTGTTTTCTTGAAAATCCAGTCTAGACTACAGCCTTGGACATTTAGACTTGGAAGGATGCAGATGAACAACTTTTGACTATCAGGACAGTTATTTGGAGTCCTGCTTAGCCGTGAACTTGAGGGACGGACCAATGTTTTCATCCAAGAAGGAGAACCTACCCTCTCCCATCCTGGAGGATTCTTTCTTCTCCTTCTCTTCATCACACTCTTCCTCCGGTCACCGAATCATGGCTCCTATAATGGGAGCAGATGATCTTCTCGCCTCACCTCAGGATGACAGCAGTCCTACGCTGCTGGAAAAGGACCTGATCTTGGCTGCTGAGGTGGGCCAAGCTTTGCTGGAGAAAAACGAGGAGCTGGCTGCTCAGATAGAGCAGATGGAAAGGGAGATGGAGGTATGAATGAAAATGAGTGCTCAGAACTGATGGAGTCTCTATAAAGGCCTGTTAACACCACAAACGTTAACTATAAAGTTTTACTAATCATTCCACTAATCAGTTCTATGAGAATAGCGATAGTCCACACCCCAACTATAACAACACAGAGGAATGATATTGTTAGAATCACATTCAGAACAATTTTTTCAGCTGATAAAATAAAAACATTAACAGTCAATCGGAATCCAGCCGACTTTAACAAGCTCAAGCATTTAAAACCGCAAACAAAGTACAGCAACTGCAGTGCATGCTTATAATAAACAGAACATTATTGTCTGCTGGTGTGTACGCTAATATAGCCTAGTTATCTTGATTGTTCTTGGTGTGAACGGGCCTTAACTCTGTAAAGTAACGTGTTTATGTTTATACATTATACCGTAGCAGTTGCTTACACCATTTTGATTCACTATTCTGATTTCTTCTTTGGTTAACAGTCTAAACTCTTTTGTTTTGCTAACTTTTTAGAATTTAATTAAAATATTCTTTACTGTCCAGCAGAGAAATTTGTCTCTATGGCGCTGTACACACAAATAATACATTGTTACTTCTTTAAATCTATTAATATCTTCTATAAATAATAACTGCATGTAAAACATCTATCGCAATACAAATAAAATGCCCAATAGAATGCATTGCAAAACATCACAAAACATTACAAAAAAACCTTTTAAAACATTATAACCCATCAAATGTCTACAATTGAAACCATGTAGCAAATGGCTATATGTGCCAATTTTATTTTAACACCTTATTTAATATTGTAATGGAAGAAAAATTTAAAAGGTTTTAATAGATTAGATTTACACCACCATTAATTTTTTTAAATATTTAAAATGAATACTTTTATTCAGTAAGGACACATTATCGAAAATGACAGTAAAGATTTTATTTCAAAGAAATGCTGTTCTTTTGAACTTCCTATACATCAAATAATCCTGAAAAAATATATCATGACTTGCACAAAAATATTAGGCAGCGCTGATCGGCAGAGCAATGTATTCAACATTGATAATAAGTACGCAGCAAATCAGCATATTAGAATAATTTCTAAAGGATCATGTGACACTGAAGTCTGGAGTAATGACTGCTGAAAATTCAGCTTTGCTCACACTGGAATAAATTACATTTAAAATATTTTGGAAATGAAAAAAACAATATTGTAAATTGTAATCATATTTCACAATATTGCTGTTTTTTTATTGTATTTAGATTCAATGAATTCAGCCTTGGTGAGCAATAAGAGAAAAAAATTTGAATGGTAGTGTTAAAACAATTTCTTAAGATGCTGAAAACTGCACAGTGGTAAACATCTACTAGAGTGCTTGACAAGAAAGTACAAGAAATAAAGATAAAGAGGCAAACGCGCAAACATTATTGATTTTGAGTGTTTATATCTCCTGCATAGTGACATTATGTTGCATATGATGCAGCAAAGGTAATAGTTTATGGTGGCTCTTCATTTAGAGAGAGTTTGTATCAATGGTCTCAAATAGTGCCAAAAACCTGAATGATAGAGAACCTGTTATAAAGGTTACATTAAATCAAACCTATTAACATCATTAAAGAACTCTTTTAAAGTGTGTGATTTACAGACAAAGTTTGTTTGTCTCTGTACAACAGGCTATGCAGCAGGAGAAACACATGCTGCAGCGACGTCTGGATGTGCGGGACCTCGAGGCAGGTCAGCGGGAAGCAGAACTGCAGGCTGACATCACAGCGTTGCGTGCGCAGTTGGAACAAAAACACGTTCAGAGTCGTGACCGGCGTCGTGAGGAGAGTGAGCAACTGACTCAGCTGTCCAACCACAACCAAAAACTTGTGGAACAGCTGGCAGAGGTGACCAATCAGAAGCTTTAAGTCCCCAGCTTCCTGTTTTTAAGATGCATGTGGGTAAACATGTCTAGTGACGTAGTAACACTGATACAGTTGTATACAGGGCTGGAATGAAGATCAGCAGGTTTAAGTATCTGTCTTATGTCAGAAGCAGTCCTAGAAATAATGTTTGACTACATCTAAACCTTTCTCTCTCCTTTTTTTTCTTCCAGGCAGTGGCCTTAGAGCATACTTTGCGTACTGAGCTTCGTTCTTTGAGGGAAGAAATGGAGGATACAAGTTTTAGCAAAACCATAAGCTCTGCTAGACTGGACAGTCTGCAAGCAGAGGTATACAGAAAATTAGTGATCCAAAGTAGAATTAGACCTATAAATCGGCCAGGCCAATTAATCTTCTGATATTTTGACATTATCAACTTTGATTTATAGCAGAATAATCAAAGAAAGTACAGTATGTTGATTCACTGTTTTTGTCTGTTATTTTTCACTACTGATCCTGTATCATAGAACAGGGTTATGAAAGAGCGCTGTACTCATATGGATGAAAGATTGAAGTCAACTCAAGAAGACAACCACCGGCTGAGATCTGAGAGGGATGGATTGAGAGAGAGGGTGACTGAGCAACAGACCAGTCTGAAAGATAAAGAAACGGAGGTGAGGAAGATGTGCCAGATGATAGAATTTGGGTAGGAAAGTATATAGCAGATGGGGAGCAAATCTCTATGTAGGATAGATATCAAATATAAATACTGTATACAGTTAGAATTTACACCCAACATTCAACATAATAATTGATTTGTAGCATTTAGTGATGTGAAGCTGCACCAGGGCTCGTCCTAATCTACAAACTCAAACACTACAGTACTGTTGGAAGTCCATTTCACACTTTTAAGAGTCCACTACAAAGAATGAAGCACTAGTAAAATGTCTAATTCATATTATGAAATATCAGCTATTAATACCCTGAAAAAATGCATGTGTTCCTCAAAAATATTAAGCAGCATAACTGTTAATAAAATAATCACCTATATAACCCAATAAAATGCATCGAAATTGATCAAAAGAGTCAGTAAAGACATTTGTTACCAAAAAAATCTATTTCGGATAAATGCTTTTGTACTTTTTATTCATCAAAAAAATCCTGAAAAAATGTATGACTGGTAAAAGAATTGAGCAGCATAACTTTTTTCAACAATGATAAGAAATTTTCTTTTGCACCAAATCAGTCTATTTTTGATCAATTAAATACAGCTTTGCTGAGCATAAGACACCTTTCAAAACATAAAAAATGGAAAAATGAAAACCATACTGTATGTTGCTTGTAAAATATTTTATTTAGTCAGAATATATGGATATTTTTAAATTGCTGTCAGTGGAAAAAGATGCTGTAGTTAGGACCAGCAGTGAATACTGGACTTTGCTAACCTGCTAAACCTTGAGCCTTTGACCTTAACAATTAATAGATCTGTAGCTTCTAGCAACTTCTTCCTTTGTTGTTTGCTGCATGCACAAATAAAATGGCTAAATTTAAAAAAGACTTTTATACTTTAAAAAAAAGATTGTTTAATTTTGATTAATTAATTTTTCTAAAAAAAATTATATATATAAATTCTGTTCTGAGAGGCATTGTGGGAAGAGATGCAAACTTTGAAAATACACTGAATATAGTGTACCATATGGCCACCGTGACATACTATTTTCAAAGTACTATGATTTGAGGCCAACTAAATCTAATCTTGCACTATACTGTTGGTCCTAAATAGTACGAGAATTGGGAATTGGGCAGCCTAGGTTTCAGGTTTAGGTTTCGCTGGTAGAGTCCATCCATCCCTAGAGTTTCAGTCTAGCTGTCTCTGGCTCTTTCACAGCTGGAACAGGAGCACAGCACAGTGTTTCAGCTGCGCACGGTCAACCGAACCCTACAGCAAAGGGTTCAAGCCCTGGGAGAAGAGGCCAGTCTGGGGGAGGCTACCTGCTTCCCTATGTCACTTCAGAGTGAGATCCAACAGTCTCAGGTAGCACTCAACCCCTGCTTAGTGAAAAGATAGGTGTGCAATGTGCATGCTTCAACTTAGCTTGTAGCAAATAATTACTACACTCACTGCAAGTGACGTAAATTGACTATCAAACGTCTTTATGTTTTAAGTATGCAAGTGCATGTTTTTCTCCTCACCTCTCACCACACTTTCTATTTCTGCTGACTGGTTGTTTTCATTTTGATCTCAAACAGGCCAAAGAAACCATTTTGGCCCATTCAGCCATTTTGCAAGAAAAAGAAGAAGAAATTCAGAGGTTACAGAAAGAGGTTAGCTACATGATACAATGACATCACAATAGCATGCATATAGACGGAGTATCTTCATCTATGGTGATATGCAATGTTTTGTTTTTCTTTCATCAGCTACAGTCTAGAGAAACTGAATTAGAAGGGCTCCGGGAGGAGGTGAAGCCATTTCATAACAGTCCTGGCAAACCTACTTACAGGTGAGAACTGGATCAAAAGGCTTTACAACCTCTATCTTCTTGTTCTCTGTGTGTCATATTTAATGTCAGAGATAAAGTGATAAGCTAACGATATGTGATGAATGGGGGATATTTTCCATAATAGTCTGAGGATAGATTGAAACTGTCTATTGTTTTATCCAACCCTATCTTTTTTTCCTTATTACCCATAGTGCCTTGGAAGAGGAGATCATTTTGGCCCGACAAGAACGTGATGCACTCAACCAGCAGCTTCTGAACACTATCAGACACAAGGTGGCACTATCTCAGGAAGTTGAGTCTTGGCAGGTTGGTAACTTGAAATTTATTTCTAATCGAAGTACTACTACAGGAAGCACTATTCACATTTTTTTCCATAAAATGTATATCTACTATGCATTGCACAGAGAGCCGTATTTGACATCCTTCTCGAATTCAGAAACACAGTTCACAGAAACACTGTCCTCATTAATGTTTTTTAGCCAGGCCAGTGCAGTTGTTTGGTGTTCCTCAGAGGTTAGTCTTAGGACCCTTTTAGTTCCTGCAATGACACACTGTATAGAACATACACTGTATTATTGTAAATGATGGTTAACCTCCACTATGCATTGCATGTATTTATTAATAAGTATTGATTATATATAGAAAATGTGAAAATCTAGTTTTGCTTTCCTTTTGACCAACAAATTCCAGGAGGACATGCGTCTAGTGATATGTCATCAGGTTCAACTCCAACAAAAAGAAAAGGAAAACGACAAAGAACGGACAGGCCTTCAAAGAGGCACTCGCACCACCAAATCATTGCGTGTACGTGGGGAAGATGGAAGGAAAGGATTTTTTTCTTCTCTGTTTGGGGGAGACTGACTGGAGGACAAATAAGAAGGGACAAGAAGAAAAGGGAATACAGTAATGAGAGATTTCTCACTTTTTTTCTACAAATGTAAAGTAATCATTAAAATCACCCAAATGTGTAAATATAAAGACAGTAGAAAGAAATTATATGCACTCCATAGTGGCACTATTGCATATGTATGTTTTTCAATATTTATTTGCAACTTCAAAATCATACATAAAAATAAATGTATAGCATTTACTTTTTCTCGTCTCTTTTTTTATAGGAGGGGTTAATCATTCTTAAACCATAAAAGAAATGGTCTCTTTAGCACCATTAAAGGCATCGTTCAGTAAGGCATTATGCAGCATTACAGTCAGTAACATTTCGTGTAAACATGTAAAACTTTTGCACTCTCAGGCTGTCAAATTTTTCAAACACAAGACAGTTCCCCAATATTCATAATGACCCATGATGATAACAAAATCTTTGATTATATATTGTAGCACCATTTTATAATAGAAAATGTTTAGAAAGTGCTTTACAGAAAACAAGTGTTTGTACATAACACACTGACATACATATGGTAGGATACGACATGAAAATAAAACCAGCGCAGTAAAACTGTTGTCATGGAAGACACATGAAGATTTTTATATATTTTGTGTTAGTGTGCCAAACATTCTATTTCCAAACATTATTTTTTACAAAATACTGTAATAAATAAAAAGTGTGAAAAAAAGAGAGAGAGAGAATTCCATTAAAATAATTGTGGGAACTGCAAAATATACTTTTTAAGCACTTGTGAAAGGATGCTGTAAAGAGAGTATGTTTTCAAAAATAAATAGATTTTTTTATTTTTTATTTAACCGTTAACTTCTATTACATAAATCAAACTTTTGGAGTGACCACCATTTACCGTTTTGCAGTTGTTTCAAAGTAATTTTCATCTTTAATCAGATACAGAGATTTTCAGTACAGTGGTCTTAGATCCCAAGTAGTGTAAATTATGGTATTATAATTATGGTATGTATTTTGCATGACATACAATACACAAGAATACACTTAGAATTTCAATTGTCCAACATTTCTGGTATTGCACTGCATCTTAAATTGCTTCATGTAGCACCTGGAGTTCGTTATCAAAGTGTCTGAATGGCCATTTATCGACTAGATGGCTTCTCATGTGACGAGTTGCATCACAGTGACACGCTGCAGAATGTGTAGCTCCAACTTATTCCTGAAGTAGGCACACTTCCATAGTTCAAACTGTGTTCAACATGACCCACTAATAGCACCTCAACTGGGCAATCAGCAACAAGATGGCCATTATCCAGCAATGTTTAGGTCCGAAGTTCCTTCTATTTGACCATACAGAATTCAGCTTGAGAGTTTAAACGGATCATAATATCTGTAAGATCCAAGAGTTCCTGATGCAGGAGTTCTTGTGAGTTCTTGCAGGAGAAAACTGTAAGTGCTATTGAGATGAAAGGGAATATTAACGGATAGTTCTCTCCAGGTATAACAACCCCCAGATTTTGCTTCTATACCAAGTGTTATTCCCTCATGGATATTCTGATCTTCTGCATCACTAAATTTTCAGTTTTACATGTCTACTTGCATGGCTCAGGTGAAAGGTGGATACTTTTTTACTTGAATTTGGTTGCAGACTCCACCTTTGGAAGTAGGTTCAGGATATGTATATCCTCTTTAAGGGCCCTCATAGTTTAGATAGTAGAGATTTGGAAGTTCATAATACTTTGTCATGTCTTGGTTCATAGCCACTCTCTGAGTTAGAATCAGGCAAGAATAAGCTATCCTCCTCCTCTTCAGCAGGCACTTCTCTTTCACAGCCACTGCCAGAAGAACAGGAAAGAGTTTCTTCTGCATAATTGCTATCCATCTCTGAGTTTACAAACGCATTCACAGTAACCGTTTGTAGTATTTTGGATGATGTTGAATTGTTTAAAGTATTAGCACAGAAAGATCCCGATTCAGATTCACTACCTGGATGCATACTGTCATCATCCATTTCAGATATTTCATTTTCTTCACTATCTTCTATATCATTAGCTAGTGTGTACTCATCACACTGATTTGATGCCTCAGCCTCCTCATCTTGTTCTGGTGGGTTGACACTGGCGATGGATGACGTAAGGTTTTCTCTCGGTTGATAGAACATAGAGCCATCCTTGGAGTCTTCTTCCGATGAAGAAAAACGTCTCTCTGCGTTCATTTCTTTTTTTGGCGGGGTCACTGTAATTGGCTGGGATTCCTCAGGGGTTGGTTTTAGGACCCTTTTATATCCTGGAATAACAATCTGTAAAGGACATACAAACACTGTATTATTGTAAAGGATAGTAAACCTCTACCATGCATTGCATTTATTTATTTGGCATCATTTTACAAGCTTCCATTAGTTAACTTTAGTCAAAGCATTAACTAACATTAATAATGAACAGTTGTATTTTTATTATTATTTTTATACCACTTAAAATAATAGAAAAAGTGGCTCAGAAAACAAAGTTATTTCCTAGAAAAGCTCTAGCATCATTTGTTTGCAGATGCCACATAGTTGGATATTTTGTGTCTTTGAAATTCAGATTTTCAATTCTTGGGGCCTATATACACATAATAAATGTATATTGTATATAAAAATATGAAACACCTTGGAAGGGTCATGTTAAAAAAAAATCAAATAATGTTCACAAAATGATAAATGCAACTTAAATTCTAAAGTCAAATTAGGACATACACAAAGCTTTATGAACTTCAACAAGTATTGAAGAACATACCAAAGGTTTTGGAATGCGGAGATTCTTGATTTGAAGCCTCATGTGGTAAAAACAACCAAAAGGCAAAAAAATCCCAGTTGAAAAAATAATCAGCAGCATGGCCACAATGCACACCACTAGCACAAAGCTTCTAGTAGAATCTATAAGACACATTAACATATAAACAATATTGTTTTAATAAAGTTGCAATGTTTTTGAAGTAAAGCTATGCTCACCAAGGCTGCATTTAATTGATCAGAAATATAGCAAAGCAGTAATATTGTGAAAAATGATTCGTTTAAAATAACTGTTTTCTATTTTAAAATGTGATGCAATGCTGAAGTTTTAGCATCATTACTTCAGTCTTCATTGTCACATGGTCCTTCAGAATTCATAATATGTAGATTTGCTGCTCAAGAAATATTTCTTCTTATTATTTCATAATTTTTATAAATGTTAGAAAGAGTGCTGCTTTCTAGTTTTGTGGAAATTGTAATATATTTTCTTCAGGATTCTTTAATGAATAGAAAGCTCAAACAAGCATTTACTGTATTTGAAATAGAAATCTATTGTAACATTATACATTTTTACTCTCACTTTTGATCAATTTAATGCATCCTTGCTGAATAAAAGTATTAATCTCTCTCTCTCTAGATATACACACGCTGAACAGTATACAAATAAAAATATATCCATTACCTAATAGAAATGCGCATTTGGTGGTGTTGAAGTTATTGTTCTTCGAGGCTTGTTGATGACTGGCAGAAACACTAACACAATAGTTCTTGCCAGGTGGCACATCATGGAAAATGTGGGGAGATTCAGAGGCTGATATCAGTGCTACAAACTACAAAAAACAAAACAATTTAAGTGATGCAGTTATGCATGTAGAAATTTCATTGTAATAATCAGTGATTGTACATGACAAAAATATTATGCATTTACCTTTGATTCCCCTGCAGGACTGCTCTCAAAAAGATACAGCAGGTATTCCAGTGGTTTGATGTCTGGTTTTAATTCCAGCCAATGACTAAAATTAATTTTAATGGACTTTTGTTCAGTTGAGATTTTTACATTTGGGGGACTCAGGAGTGCTACAGAAAGTCAAACACAACCATTTCAGAAGAGCATTATTTAGCTTTGCTGACCAAAACATTACATTAATTCTGAAAGTCTTATTTAATATATTTGAACTTACTGTCTCCATATGGCTGGAAAGACTTTGATGTAGTTGTCCAGTTGGAGCTCGTTCCTTTAAATGTTGTCTTGACCCTCACAAAATAATTCCAGTGAAGCTCATTAGGTTGCCCATCAAAAGTCAGTTCGCATTTCCGTATGGCTGTGTTAGTGCAGTGTGGAGTGTGATTCCACTTTCCTCCAGCCCTTCCCAAAAAATTAGTACAACTATTTTTAGAAATCTATTTGACAAGTCACAAAGTATTTTTTATTGATTTATTGATTTATTTTTGCGAATGTCTGTATGTACATTTTTTGTGCATTTATAAACTCCAAGGTGTATCTGGTGTCAGGAGGATTTCCTTGTCCAGGAAGCCATTCAGCTGTAGCCTTAAAATCCATTAATTCCACAGTCAGATTCTTTGGAGGAGAAAGAATTGCTAAAAAAATAAATAAATAAGGGAAAAATTAATTGTTGCATTAATTACAAAACAAACCAATTAAATATGAATAAATGCCAAAATACACAAGCCAACCCATATTGACAACAACAGGGTGTGTGCATGCAAAAAAACAGTATTTATATATTTGCATTGTGAGATTAAAAAGGAAGGTTACCATTTGCATTACGAAAAAAAAGTACACTACCTTTAGATGGCGTTAGACATATTTGAAGCAAAGCAAACATGCAGGCTAGAAAGCGGGTCATCGTGTCATTAAATCATGTCAAACCTTTAAAAAAGGCTGGAAGTTTATCCTTAATCGCCCCTGCAAAAAGCAGTACAAGACACATAATTACAACAGATCGATAATATTTAACATGAGGTTTGGAGAAATAAAAATATAGATGAATAAAAACAGTATTACATAAATAGAAATATGCAAAATAGCATGATTAGTTTGGTGCAAGCAATATTTGACTTAAAGGGCCAGAACAAGTTTACAACTATAATATTAGAATCATTACAATACCAAAAGGAGAAATAAATGAAAATAAAAACAGTACGTGTTCAGTAAAAGCCTCAGTTACTAATTATGGACAATTCAAGTCACACTCACCACACTGTAGTCAACTCTGTTTCTATAAATAAAACGCCAGTCCTGAAGACAGCAGATCCATCTTACATACCAGCAGCATACTGAGATTGGGTTTAAACAAATGATCCAAGACAAATACTATACTGCTATCAAAGCGTCACTCGTTCACTACAGAGAATGTCTTGAGGGTACGTCAAGCAATGTTTTCAAGCAATCTTGACAAGACTAAGAAAAAAACCTTTATCTGTCTAAACATTCTACAGTACACAGAATGAGAGAACAACTATCTGCAGGTTTGCACTGGCAACATATTAAACAAGTCCAGACTTCTTTACTGATCTAAAGGTATATTTGGGACTTAAGCACCTCCCCTGTTACCTGGAACATGAAAACAGGTTGTTCCAGTCTCCAGGATGGAATCTCGTCTGTCGTCCTCATCAATCTCCACCCAGCATGCACCTACTACAAGCACAATTACTGATAAAGGGAATTATGTTGTTCTGAATATAGTAAGCAGAAGCTTCATGATATGAATGAACAATGTTATTATTAATATACAGTATATATTTTTTCAAATAAATATTGGTTGAACAAGCTTATTTTAAAGTCCCCATGAAGTCAAAATTAAAGTTTTTTGGGTGTTAGTATCAATATGTTAGTCTAGTTATCTATAAGGCAGTGTGCTCCAAAACAGTGACAAAATTCGCATTTAGAAGATAAAAGCATTCAAAGCTTGCAGTCCGTCACTTCCGCCAAAACGGCTCAACGAATTTTTGGCGTCACATCGTACTTCAGCTTCTCATCAAACTTTCTGTCCAATCAAATGCTCTCTAGAATCCGAAGCCCCGCTGAACGGCTCTAGCCCAAGCAAGCTGTGACATAAACGAACGCTTTTGGCTATTTTAAAAAGGGGCGGGGCTGCTTGATATGTCCCGCCCTGTCTTCCTGTTTCAGTTAAAATGACGTCAACACATAGAGTAACGCTGCGTGTTTCTAAGCATTTCAGGGGACCTTTAAATGTCTTGCAAGTGACCTAACTGCAATTGCAATAAATAAATAAATAAACATAGAAATTGTTATACTAAATACTTTTATTTCTATTTTATAATGCTATAGCATAATTCTCTTCCCAGATGAATCATTTTTGTTTTGTTTTTGCCTTATAGTGCGTGATTACTCATGTTCCTCCAACATTTTGTGTTTTATCTTCTTTTCCAGAATTTTCTGCAATTACATAAGCAATATCACGGTAAATGTACTTAATATCAGGTTTTGGCCACAGGCATGAGTCATGTTTTTGCATACTAAATTGTGGTTGGTTTATTTCTTACATTTATTTAAGCATCTACAGCTTCATATCATAACATGTTCATTCATTTGGCCAGAGGAGAACCTTTTTTTCTCCATTTTTGTCATCTGATTTTGAGAGTTTGGGTTTCTTGCCATTGTTGACTTTAGCTTGCTTAGTTGAAGCCTAAAAACACTTAATATTCAGTAACATTATCAATATGACTGCACAGACACCATCAAATAAAAACAAACTGAAATAAGCTGGAAGATTGTCTTCTATAGAACTGCTTTACAACTTACAGTTAACCAACTGAACTGAATGAAAATTGAATTGACTTGAGCTGGATAACAACATTACTGCCTTCTGCAGAGCTGCTTATAGCTGAAGTGAACTTCTTTCCAAATTTAATAACTTTATACTGTTATTGAATTGAACTGAAACAACACTGAACTGACTTAAGCGAAATAATTACACAATTGTCTTTCCAGAGCTGCTTTAAAGTAGAATCTTAATAAAAGTGAGTTTCCATAACTGATTCTGCTATTTTTACTGTGAAGCTGCTTTGAAACAATCTGGATTGTATAAAGTTCTATAGAAATAAAGGTGACTTGACTGGATTTGACTAGCTGCCTTTACAAGTTGAGAGAGACAAGACTATTGGAGATGGAGTGAAAGGGAATGGGAACATGCTATGTAATTTGCAGTCGAGATTTTCTTCCTAAATCATATTTTGTTGGGACTATATAGAGTTCCCTTTAGGAATATTTGTTGGGAATACAGTATCCTTATAATATGTAAGGATTCAGAAACTTTGCATGTGCCTATATAACCTCTATGTCTATAAGTGCTAGTGTTTATCATAAGTTAGTTTGAGGCTTGGATCCCCTACTTATTTCTATCAACTTTGGAAGTGTGTAGAACTTGTGTAAATGCAATATAAAACTTCTTTTTTATTTGAATGATCCTGTATTTAAGATAGACTTTCTCATGAACACTCAGTTTCAAAATTCCTCACAAAACATCTACAGAGTTTCTATATTATAACATTCATCTGTGAGACAGGTGCTTGAGAAAACTGACAGAAAGAACACAACCATTTACTCACTGCTTTATTTACAGCAGCTCTTTATAATGATATCAAGATCTGACCTGAAGCCAAAAGTATCTACAATACTTCTGACCTTTGGATACAGTCGTGTCATTTGAAAAGTAGCAAAAAACGATAAGAGCATGGTAAAAGTTTCCAAGACAGTTTGAATGTGTCCTTCATATAACAAAAATTTAAAAAGCTGAAATCTGTCAGTTTTAATAAAAATCAACCCTGAAACATAAAAGACGAATCACCCCAAAACAGTCTCATTAATCACAGGCCAGCACACAAACTGCAGCCAAATTTCAATAGTCACTTCACCTTAGTGCTTAATCTTTAGTATAAACAGTTTAGTAATTTACGGGAATGACAACCGCATTTTACAACGTTAATTTAGTGACAACTGCATTTACCAAAATTACATGCTGTATGCACAGAACCAAACTGAACAGCTGTTAAAGACATTTAAACTTGCATCAGAGATGTGCCTCTCTTCTGTGTATGCAGTGCAAGTAAATCACAGGTAAAGAGGTACGAGCCTTGCTCATTCGCACATTATGACGCAATTCTTTCTCTCAGTTGCGCTTAACAATAGAAATAAGACCAAAATATCACAACCCGCAATTGCCCACTTTATTAAGTCCACTTTCAGTCCTTGATGTGAACAGGGTTTAAGTTGTTTTAATTTAGGGGATTCTCTTGAGCATTTACATGTGGTTCTCACTCCTGAAATGATATAATACAGGTCATACCTGCATTCCTGTGAACCAGTGGCAGTCATGCTTCAGAATGCATAATGCATCCTTATACAGTTCACACTGTCACTCCCATCATCATACACAGAAAAAAAGGGGTTTAAAATTGTACCTTTTGAGGTACAACAGCTTGTCCCTGGAGCAGTACCCTTAAAAGGACATATTTGTACCTTTTTTACCCCTAATAGGTACATATTAGTACCTTAAGGGTACGTATTACTACTCTAAGGTACTAATATGTAACCCTAACCCCAAAAGGTATAATTCTGGCCCCTTATTTTTCTGTGTGTACTTGCCATTATACCGACCCCCAAGAAGTCTTCAGGTTTAGCTTAACAAGCAGAGAAGAGGGTGTTTTGTTTGAATGAGGGGATGATACTTGATAAATGGCCCGCCTCTTTGCTAATCTTCTATATGTTTGGCTTGACATTGATTTAGGAGTGAATTATATTTGGAGTTTGCTACAAAAAATAGATCTTTAATAGAGAAGTCACACGAAGCTGAAACTATATATTTATTTGTGTGGTCTCCTCCCACAGTTGCAGAAGTTGCCATCTTCTTCTTAAGTTAAGATAATCTTTGAATATTTATCTCAGGTTACTTTGGGGCCAATAGAAGACCAAAAAAGTAAAATCCTTCATACAGGATGGAACCGACATAGAGGGCACATTCCCGGTCTTTTTCAGCCCTCATTCCTGCTTGCCATGAACTGCATGATTGTCCAGTATGGCAAAGAGGGCTTTGATTAGCTTGCCTGTTCTGTCCATTGTCTGTGGTGGACCAGTGTCTTTGGGCAGACATGAAGGTGGTTTCTGAAGTCGCCAGTCCTGAGCGGTGCCTCTTTTAAGTTAGGTTTCGTATCTAACCAACGTTGACCCCAAGACCGACCTGTAACTTGCCTGCTCTGTGGTTGACAAAGGCACCCATGATCAATGTGGCAGGAAGTGGGTAAAGCCGCTTTTCCAGAACCCCACCAATGATACAGCGGCTGTCCAACATACCTAAAAAAACATCAAAATGATCGACAGAAATGATGAGTTAAATATTAGTCCTAAATTTAATCATTCTGTTACACACATTACCCTAGTGAAAAAGAAATATATTAAAATATATTTGAAATACATTTATTTTACTGAACCTTTATACAGTGACCGGGAGGCGACATGTTCAGTTTACTTAATTTTGTTGTGTTGTTAACTCGTGGGAACGTCATATTAACTCGTGGGAACATGATAATATGTCGTGGCCACGAGATCATTTTGTCGAGGTAACAACATCCTTATGTCGTGGCCACAAGAAGATATGTTGAGGCAGCGGCGCAACTAAACATTTGGCGAGGGGTATGCAAGATCAGTGTTGGTGCCCCCTGTATTCTAGTAGCGCCTAACACTAACGCCCACAGAAAACTTTCTGCAAGTCAATGACCAAAAGCCTATTCACTAGCTTGTGCATGGAAGTATACAAACTCGTCAGGAGTGAAAAAAAGTGGTGGTGGGGGGGGGAGTGTGTCACATAACATTACTTTCAATTAGGTAATTTGAATATACATATACGTATTTCTTAATATTACTGTTTGTATTGTGTTTTTGTTCAAACTATGCAGTCTTAATTATGAGACTTCTTTCAAAAGCACTAAAAAACCGTACCCAGATTTTTGAACAGTAGTGTATAGAATAAGTTACCTTTTCTCGCTTGTTTAATTTAACTTATTTATATATCAGTGACAATAACAGTGCCAATCCACTTCACAGACTTGAGGATTCTAGAGAAACAGACTGCACTATTGCGTAACATGCAATCTCATGGTAAGTTCATGGTAAGTATATTTAAAAGTTTAATTGTTATTGCCAGGCCAAGATAAAGCCTGCAACCTCTTTCATTTTCTGTGCTGATTTTAGAGGGAAAATTTGTGTCATTCTGTGGATTTAAACAAGGTCAAAGATGTTAAATGGAGTGTAGTAAACACTGACACAGCTCAGAGCAGAATGCAAACTAGACAAGTGTTTTAAAAAAATGCATGTTTCAAAATACATGTAAAGACATTTGTTAATAAAAGGCCTTCCATTATAAGACATGT